ACCCACTCCCTCCCCTCCAATTCCTCCCATATCTCCCCATCACTTTTTTCTGACAACTTCTTGTAGCCTTTCTTTGGAGGAGGGGGCTTTTTGCTACTCTAACATTCCCCCTCTGAAGAGGCAACCCTAAAATTGTTTAGGGGTTAGATAAGAGCTCCCAAATACTTTTGACATTTTTGGTCTTTGGAACAGAGTATGTTGCTAAGAGGCCCAAAGATATTTTGACTTTTAGCCAAGAAACTGGCTATTTTTCTTTGGGGTCTTTTTCCCCTAACTGCCTAGCCAGTTCCTACCTCCTATTCTTATCGCACCATCCTTTGAAGAGGTTACCCAAATTATTGATAGGGAATCGGGACATAGACCTCTCTGGCTTCTTCCATGCTGAACAGAGACACAGGGTGAGGCAATTAGGGTACCCCATCAGTGGGTCTATCTAAAAGACTCCTAAATTGCATAACTCTTATCTCTAGGGAGAAAAGAAAATCCTTGACTGGTGCCTAGGAGATGTGGAGGAGAAGTAAAGGCAGGAGTAGTTAGAATTACAAGTTCTAGATAGGGTACCAGAGAAAAACATCAGAACAGGGCAAATTTCAAATGTCATATCAGAGTTCATTGGAGTTTCTTAACGAGAGGTTCCAAAAGCATCCCTCTACTGGGTTCCGCCTCATTTTTCTTTTGTCTGCCAAGGCTGGACTCGAGAGTGATGAACTCAGGATTCCTTTTCAGGCACTTTGATAGCTTTTGGGGTAGCTAGAATCAGTGTCAGTTCCCTCTCAAAGGCTTCTACATAGGGGATTAAAATATCTTTTATGCTGGGCGTGGTGGTGCACCCTTTAATCCCAGCACTCAGGAGGCAGAGGCAGGTGGATCTCTGTGAGATCGAGGCCAGCCTGGTCTACATAGTGAGTTCCACGTCAGCTGAGGTTACAGGGAGACCCTGTCTCAAGAGACCAAATACATTAATTAATTAACTAATTAATTAATTAAATTTTATCAAGCGAAGTGTGGTAGCACTCACCTTTAATTCCAACACTTGGGGCCAGAGGCAGGCAAAGCTCTGTGAGTTTGAAGCTAGCTTCATAGCTGGTCTACAAAGTGAGCTCCAGGCCAGCCAACCAGGACTACATAGTGAAACCCTGTCTCAAGAAAAAAGAAGCCGGATGTGGTGGTACACACCTTTAATCTCAGCACTTGGGAGGCAAGGGCAGGTGAATCTCTGTGAGTTCAAGGCTAGCCTGGCCTATATAGTGAGTTCAGGCCAGGTGGAGCTACAGAGAGACCTTGCCTAAAAAGAAAAAAATGGAAAACTCTCCAGAACAAAATAAACGGTTTAATATGTTAATTTCTTCTTTTTATTTATTGATTTGTGTGTGTATGTGTGTGTTTGTGTGTGTGTGTGTGTGTGTGTGTGTGTGTGTTTTTGTCAATTTAGCAAAATGTGCTGGTGTTACTGGTTGAGCCACCTGCATACAAGGCACACAGACCAAGGGCTTTCAAATATCCTCTTGGTTAGTCCTGACAGTGCTGAGTGGGTGACCCTATCATTCATATTTTACAAACAGAGAATTTGATCTAAAGAGGTTAAAAATCTTGCTCATGAGCTGGGTGTGGTGGCTCACGCCTTTAATCCCAGCACTGGTGAGGCAAAGAGAGGTAGATCTCTCTGAGTTCAAGGCCAGCCTGGTCTCCCTAGTGAATAGCCATCTGGGGCTACAGAGAGACTCTCAAAAAAAAAAAAACCTCAACAAGAACTTAACCACCTTTGTCTGTGTTAATCAACACACTACTCATTACTCTTAGAGGAAGAGTCCCTGCATTATGGTGAATGGAGTGTTTTCTATGTATGTTCAGTGGTTGAAAGCATTGATTGCTCTTGTAGAAGACCTGGGTTCAAGTCCCAGCATCCACATGGTGGGTAACAACCATCTGTAACTTCTAGGGGCTCCGATACCTTCTTCTGGCCTCCATGGGCTTTGCATGACACAAGTGCACTTACATACATACAGATATAACACTCATACACATAAAAAAATTAAAATATTTAAAAATAAAAGAAATCCAAATCTGACACTTTTTTAAAATTTTTACAAAAACGTTATTGAGAATTTCATACGTGCATATAAGGTGTTTTGATCAAATCCATGCC